AACATTACAAAATTACAAACTACATTTATTTCATCAAGTACGTTCTTTCCTTAGTAGTAAGGTTTTTAACGAATGAAGACGTTTTCATGATGACTTTGTACATGATCGTTACTGATTTCAGGTTTTGGTTTAAGTTCTTTTCCTAGAAACTCGTTATATGCATTGAATTTACCATTTCTTGATATTATATTCTATTTAGAAATTTATTGAGCTATAATATTGACTACAAAACCAGTATAACCAATTTATAACAAATATTATCACTTTCAAATACGTTCATTTCTAAAAGTGAATGAACATCTTTAATATCATTATATGAATTGCTTGCTAATTTGTATTAAAGAAAGGAAATGTAAGATTCGAACTTCCCCCTATAAGTATCCTCATGTAAAAACAATTTTTGATGGAAATAAAAAGTCAATATTCTGTTTAAAGTGGCTGTTCAGTTCAAACTATTATCAAAGTTTCATCAATCGAGGAGTCCATGCAAGAATGACATGTTTTCGAAGTCAGTGTTCAGCTCCTCAGTGGTATAACATAATTATGTCTGTCAGATGTACATCCTCACATTATACATTCCCTCATATGATAAATTTAAACTGAGCACACTTTGTTCATCAGGACTGAAATTTATATTCATGTTAATGACAAACAAATTTTTTGGGGGGGACAAAAATGGAATTTCTTAATCGTGGTACATGTTTATCTGCATATAGGAGTCCAGTTTTTCCCAATAATATCACCCAATATTGACTTTTACCAAATTTATATCTAAAAGGAAAATACGACTCGGAACAAGAATTTATAAACCGGTTAGCAATACGATCTTTTATTTGTTAGGAAGTAATCTACACACAATTCTAGCTTCCTTGTTAAACAAGGCGTAGTGAAAGTGAAATCCAAGAAGTGATTTAATCTTTTACTTGAAGAAGAATAAGTTGAAATCAGATCAATATATACTAAAGGTTAAAACTGCTCTAAGCCGATAAGGAATCTAAGCCAGACATAATTCAGTTCTAAAAGTGAACAGCGAAAAAGGAACTTCAAGATAATTTCTGAAATGTCACGTATAAAACAATCATTTTCAAAATATAAGACTAAAATGAATTGAATAATAGAATATTTGTATAAGGCGTCATCTAAATCATTTAAAACAAGTCAGATACTTGATTCTTTAGTGTGTTTTTGCTTTCTTTTCAACAAGATGCCTATGAATGGAATTTCTGTTTGGGGTGATATGTACTATATACACGGAAAAGAAGCAAATAATTTTTTGTCTAGATAAGATAAGCTTTATTTAAAGTCAGTTTGGTAGTTAAAAAGACAACACAAGCTCCAATGAGCTTTTGACTGACATTATTAACATATACATAACAGTAAAATTACATAACAGTAAAACAATGAAACATGCAGCGCTATAAACATAGAATTACATGTACTTATAACAGTACAGCACACAGTCACATTAAGAGAACACACCAGATAAAGATACATATATAAGACACACATATACAGACAAACAAACAGTACAGCACACAGTCACATTAAGAGAACATATCAGATAACATATATAGAACACACAAGTACAGACACACAAACAAAGATTACATAACTTACCTAGTGAAGCAGGCTCTGCACCCACAGTCCTTACCGCTCCAAGAGGCTATCATAGATCTAAACTGTAAAAAGTTAGATTGACATTTAAAATTTTCAGGTAAGGAGTTCCATAATACTGGTGCTGCATATCTAAAAGACATTTTACCATAAGAAGAGGTTCTAACTTTTGGTATTTCTAAAATATTTGAATATCGAAAATTGTATGTTACTTTCTTAAAACTCACTAGGTCTGACAGACATCTTGGAGAAAAGGTCATGTAAAATCCTAAAACATTCCAGAGCCATACTGCGCATTCTTCTAACCTTTAATGATGGTAGTTTTGCCTTATGCAAAGATTCCTAGCTACTTTCCAAATCTTCATAAATAAAACGTAAAGCTCGTTCCTGAATTTTTTCAATTTTTCTGTTGTTTTTCCTTGAGCAGAAGTGCCAAACAAGAGGACAGAAATTAAAATTTGACAAAATAAAACTATAAAATATAGTACTTTTGTTTGTCCGAGTTAATACTGAGACAATGCGTTTTAGAACATTTAATTGTTGGGCAGCTTTTTTGCAGATATTACTAATATGAACATCAAATTTAAGCATAAAATCAATATCATCTCCCAATAATTTAACAGTTTCATTACACAAGATTTCAGCATCATCAATTCTGAATACTGGTTTCTTATCAAAAGTTTTCTTACCCAAGGCAATAGCCTGAAATTTAGTTGGATTAGCCTGCATACAGTTTTCTTTAAACCATTTCAATAATACAGAAATTTCATCTTGCAAAGTACTTATCAGAGAGTCAAAATCCTTATGCCAGTAGGCTAAAGTATTATCGTCTGCATAGTTATATAAAGACCCATTCTTTATGAAATTAAAAATGTCATTTATAAAAACATTGAAAAGTAATGGTCCAAGAATAGAACCTTGTGGCACTCCCTTTCTTATACCAACCCAACTACTGACAACTCCCTGAAGTTTCACTTGCTGAAAACGTTCAGACAAGTAGCTACCCAGAATGGAAACAGAATTTGATGATAAACCATAAGCAGAGAGTTTACGTAATAGTGTATCATGTGGTAGACAATCAAAAGCCTTAGAGAGGTCCATTAAAATAGCAGCCACATGTAAATTTTGATCTAGAGCCATTTTCCCGTCTTCTAAGAGTCGCATTAGTGTAGTTTGGCATCCATGACCTTTTCTAAATGCACACAGAGCATTATTAAAAATACCATCAAAATAGCCAGAGAGTTGTACACTCAAAACTTTTTCAAAAACCTTTGACACAGTAGGTAAAATACTGACAGGTCTATAATTAGTTTTTGACAGAGGGTCTTCTTTTTTGTACAAAGGGATGACCTGAGCTTGTTTTAGTCTACCGGGAAAAATATCCTTATGTATGGACTGATTTATAAGAATCGAAATTTGTTTACTCAGAACAGGTGCTCCAAATTTCAGAATCTTTTTTGTATCTTTTGTGAATTTCCATCTTTCAATTGGAACTAAACCATTATATAATCTTGTTTGCCTCTGCGTCAGTTACTAACATATTTGCCAGCAATAGATTAATGCATTTTCAGGGTATTTAAAGAAAAGAAATGTTAATATTTCTTAAGTTTTTTCTTTCTTATAAATAATAAAATGCAGCCTATAGAAACGATAGAATTACAGTCAAAAATGTATAAATAAAAATTATATGACATTTGCCTCATTTCTTTAAAATGCATTCGGCTATTCATTATCCCAAAGGAAACTCAAATATTCATGTTAGTCATTCTCTAATACTTGCATAATTTGGAGAACAATTGGCCTCTGACCTTAATGTTACTCTTTGCATAAGAGTTTATTTTAAGAATTAAGTGATCCTCCAAAAGACGGAAATGTGTTTTTATAGATAACAAAATCTCAAATAACATTTATTCCGATCAGGAAGTACCTTTTAAATTTTTCTTGTTACTGTTATAGACGTTTAAAAATTCTGCGTAGCTAGGTTAATTAAGGACTCCCATATTTACGTCAGCCTAGATGCAGATGTTCGGGAAAACAATTATGACGTCACGTTAAAACAATACAATGATTCTCGATGAATAAATACTATAAGTTCTTTTTTTATACACACTCAAATACTTTCTTTTTTCATAAATATTGTAAAGATAAATGAATGTGCAACTTTAATATCTTGTCTTTATAGCACTTATCGAACGTAGACTGAAAGCCAGCTTGATCTCATTGTACTTACTGAGATGACGTCACGTCTTAGTTTGACACGTAGTTTCTCTGTACTTGAGGCGTGGATCAAGCTATTTTCTTAGCTTGTAAATATAAAAATAGAGACATATTCTAGAATATATTAATCCATATTTTATCGCCAAATTGAATTGAAAATGTGTAGACTTTATATAAAGCCGAAGAGGGGCACACTTGAACAGTAACGTACTAGAATGACAGGTTCAGCCACTCAAAAATATCAAAAGTTCAACGATATCCTTAACCTAGCTCCGTGATTATTTAATGCACAAATATTACTTATTCTAGAATTTTTATTTTTGTCTTTCAGTTGAAAGTAAGTGGATATTTTTTTTAAAGATTATATATGAATTGCATTGATTTCTTATTCCAAGCATAAAAAGCAGTTCTGATATGTGAACTTTAATTTTAAACCTTCCCACAGAAAAATCATTTATATCATAAGAACATAGGTTGTTGGGCCTTAAATAAATAAAAATACATTTTTTGCGCCCACTGTTAGGTATACATGAATTTCTGTGAAAATGGTATCAGAATGCATGTCTTGTTGCCCTTGAACTTTAAATATGAGGAGTCATTCTAACTGAAAAAAAGCTATAATGATTAAGTTATGCACTTATTTTTTCGGCGAATCTGAGTTCCATGAAAACCATAAAGATTGATTTTTCCTGTTTTGAAATAGCATTTAATAGCTTTAAATACACCTAAATTAAATTTTCATTCAATTATTTTTCGATTCAAGGAACACAACTTCTTGGAAAATATTCTGTTTGAATTAAAAGACCTTAATAATCTCAAGTCTATTACAACCAATGAATAAGTAGATCCTTTTGATGAACTCATATTACACCACCATGCTACATTGTATTAGTTGATCAATACCATTGTCTCACAAAGTAACTTGCAATGAAATTAATCATAAGGTAGGCAGGGCGGATTATGGGACCATAAAGATTAATAATCAATAATAAAGCAAGGAAGATTCTTGGATGAATGTTACTCAGCCAAAGGATTGGCACGCATTTGGAATATTTTCTTATAGCGATTACCTGTTAAGAAAAGGACACTTAAGTGTATATTTGATATTGATGTGCACTAAGACATTGAACCGCATCCGTTTCAAAAGAAATCTAATATTTCTTCGAAAGTTGTTGTTTCTCTAAATTATTGAAAAGGATAAGGAATATACAGAATGGCAATTGTCTAAAGACATCTTATATAAAGGTAAACTGTATAATTTAATCTTGAATTTTTATCTGCAATATATCCCATTATAAATTTTATTTCTCATAATTTTTTGTGACTGCCACAAAATATTGCGAGATAAAACAATTATATGCTAAAATAAATCCATCATATACACTAGTTACTACTATTTGAAACGTGTCTTTAGCTAATCCTGTTATGCCGATGTCAAAATTTTAATTACTTGTTCATGTCAAGAAGGATATCTTAATGAAGTGATTTTACGAATTACTTATGTTTTAAGATACATGTGTATTTAAACTATCTAAATATTTTATATATAGATATTTAAAAATATAGCTATCAAGTTTTCCCAACCTCCCCCTGTAAGAACATACACTTCCTCATTTTTATCTATAAACTAGATACGATTTTTAAATTTATGTATACAGTGTGAGGAATAATCAATGAGACTTTTAGAAAATGATAAAGTAAGTATAAGTTCCAGATTTTAGAGCGATCTAATGTAACAATTATATATCTTTCAAAGGTATTGTCAAACCAAATAAATTGTTTTAAACTTTTATTAAGGGGTTCGTTTGCTGAAATCGGGACTTTCAATTATTAAAAAAAAAAAGAACTCGCAATATGTTACTGTGTGGATTGAAGTAATCAATACGTTACCACTAGGGGCATTGTGTGCTTTATTTAAACTTTTTTTTTAATGAGGATTGCATATTGATTGATACGAATCCACGTACACGTAGATTATCATTTAAGCCTATTTAAAGTACTTTTAGAAATGTAATTGCATTGATCATTATATAATGATATAAAACTCAATTCTTTTATTACTATCCAGCCTCCCAATATTGTTTGTAAAATGTATTATAAATTAGCATAAAACACTTGGACGTTTTACTCTTTTCTATTTAAATTTGGTAGATCTAAGAATATAAGTAAAAAAAAAGTTCTTTTGATGATACGATATGGGTATTTTATTTGAGTTCTATGGTCATATTAAAATAGTAGAACAGTATAACAGACAGACTTACACTTTTAATACAAAAAAAAAGCACGTCTCTCTATTGGTACGCTAGAACATATGCTCTAAAAAAACCTATTTACTACCAAGATATTAATAATCCATGGACACGTCATCTGTTACATATAAATTGCCAAGTATACTCACTGTGAAAGTGTGTATTTTGTAACAGGAGTGTACGCTGTAAAGTAGGTATAACTAATATTACATGTTTGAGTAAATTGGTATATTTTAAACTCAGTAAAACTTTTATAACTAACATAACATATTTTTTTTTTAAATTGGTTCTTTCCAGTGTAAATTTTATTTATGTAGAGATTTCAGTTATATTAAATGTTTTAATCTATATGCCTTTTACACTGGGTTTTGAGAGTGTATCAAGAGTACAAATAAATAGCAATAAATAGAAACAGGGAAGGAATTCCGTAAACAATATCTGTGCAATGGAATACTCCTTGGTATCCAGATATCTCCTAACAATCTCAAAAACGTGTAAATGACAGCACTTACAGTATACAGTAATAAAATATATAGAAATAGGTAAATTGAATAACATTCAATTAATTAAAGAAAGGAAGTGCTTATAAGAAATAGTAGCAATAATCTAAACAAAATATTTATGACTTCCTTAACGAAATATATGTTTTTTTTTAATTTATTGCTAAAAAAATCTTCCTGGAAAATTTTCATACTGACTCTTTATTATTTTCAAAATATAATTAAGATTGTGGTGTGCCTTCTCTTGATGGTACAAGGATATTCATATTTTCGAAAAAGTCTATGGTGGATACAATGACTTTGTCAGCAAATAGAATATGTCGTTAAATCGAAAGTTTACTGACTTTTTTCAAACAAATTGTTAGCCCATTATTTTCACACTGAATTGTCTACGGAGTTTTCAATTTGTCTTACTATGACAAGGAGCACACATTGGGTGTGACCGGTTGACAGGTGATGCTTACTCCTTCAGGGCACCTGGTCCAACCTCTGATTATTTTAGAGGTCTATATGTATGTTTGCTCTGCTCCCAATTTGAATTGTTTCAATGGACTTTTTAACTTTATTACTGTTCGTTTTCTTCATATTTCATTGTACAGAATATATTCCTCGCTTGTCTTAATGTACAAATATGTATTTTCCAAACTTCTCAACCTCTCCCTTTTATTCTATTGTAAGGACGATAACAAAGTATAAAAAAAACTGTGCTTTCTAAATAAATCGCGTCAGGCGCAGAAAATATCTTTCCGAAATAAGGAAAAAGACATAATAATTATATGACATATCATTAATTCACCTACTTTTTCTTTTATAGACGAAAATGAACCTTTTCTGCAGAGATAATATGATTACTTTTTAAGAAGAGAACCATGTCATTCTTTTATGGTCGTCCGAGAATAAATTCCAAGGTAATGTATGCAATATTTAGTTAATGTTGACAAGATAATTTTTTCCAGCAATTCTTAAATTATTAACACGATGCATTTAATTTAGACAACTATCTACAAGATCAAAGAAAGGCGAAATCACGTAGAAATAGATGAGTTACGAGGAAGAGATAGGGTCAAGGTCAGAAAGAAGGCGTCAGCTGAAGGTCGAGTTGGGGTCAGATGAAGACATCAGTAAAAATCATGAATGTCACAGGAACACAATCAGTGACAACAGATGTGCTGGCAAACAATGTCTTAAAAATATCAGGAAATTTGATATTTCATCCAGTGTTAATCAAGATGGGGGCAATAGAAAGGATTCTGAAGGAACTAATCTTAGCGTAGTGTACTGCAGAGGTGGCAAAGTATCACATGAATCAAAAAGAGAACGATTTGTTGCTTGCAGGAGAAATATTTTCCCAAAGCTTTCAAGAAAAGAAGAGGATAAGCCACAACAATCATATATATACCACAGTTTGCTTCTTTGGAGAAATGTACAGAGCATAGAAGCAATTGTAAGTAAGATTGAAAACAACTTTAAAAGAGTTCCACCAACTGCTTTACACAAGGAAAGTAAAGGAGTATTTCGAAAGGTTAAGAGAAAGAAATACAAAGTGTTTTGCCCTTCAAAATTTGATTTATTTGCTAGGAAAAAGAAAAGCCAAAAGATCCATGAAAAACATTCACAGTTAAATTTGGAGAAATGTCGTATAGAGAAAGATATCCCAGGAAGGCATTTACCTTCGTATCATTCTAGGAAAAGTAATAGAATAGTCAATGAGATTTACAGAAAATATCGTAGGACTAATCCAATTACAATAAGATATTCCAACATTATAGATAAAATCAAAGAAAATATTAGGAAATTTGACCATCAGTATTGTTCAAAGCATTATCAGAATAAAATATATCTTGGTTTTGACAAAAAAGGCAGATACTCGGATTTTAAGGAAGATCTAAAGTTTATTCTGCTTGGATTACCTCAAATAAGGAATGAATTTATTCAGGTTTTCCCGTTGTATGGGGCTTCTAGAAATCTTGACGAATTTGTAGAAAGAGAAATAAATGAAAATCAGGGTAGCAATGACCAAGAAACCTATTGCCATTCATTGAATTTAGAATTTGTAAGATTGGGTTCATTTCACAATTTCCCATCCTCCAGCTCAGTATCAACGGTGAAACTTGCTCGTCAGGGTTTTTATTATTCAAGGGAAGAAGACACTGTTATATGTTTCGCTTGTGGATTTAGAAAAAATGATTGGAAAAAAGAGGATGATGTTGAAACTATTCACAGAGCTGCCTTGCCAAACTGTCCGCTTCTTAATTCAAATTCTACAAGTAATATTCAAATTGGAGGGAGTGAAGGAAATGACATTGACGAAAATAGTGTGAGCCAAAATGAAGGTCAGCAAGAAATAATTGGACCGTTTAGTAATGGATCACATATTGAATCCGAAGCTTCAGTCAAAAATGAAGGTATATCCAGAAACGTAAGAGATTGCCTACAAAGTCATTCTTCCAATAGACCACCAAGTGATCAGCTCACGAAAGCTAGAGCCCAACAAGAAAAAATTAATGCATTCATTCGAGACCTAGATCCGCTAGGTATTAACTTTGACCGCCCGAAGTATCCTTCTTACGCAGTATTAGCAGTGAGAATTAGTTCCTTTACAGACTGGCCTTCAAGTATCACACAGATTCCTAGAGACCTAGCCATTGCAGGATTTCTTTATGCAGGCTATGGAGATTATACCCGATGTTTCTTTTGTGGAGGAGGATTACGAAACTGGGAACCTGGCGACGATCCTTGGACAGAACACGCCAGATGGTTTCCGAAGTGTGCTTTTCTGAGACAGAATAAAGGGGACGAGTTTGTTGCGTTGGTGCAAATTGAACACCAAGAAGTACGTATTTTTCGGAAATGGTGCTATATGTTTTTTATCCATGCATTTTTGTTGTGATTTTAATTTTCCATGATCCGGTAAAATTTTTGATTTCTAGGAGGCATTTGGAGAAATGAATGGTCAAAACGACGACCTAGCAAATGAAAACATAACCAGTCAAGCCCAGAATTCTGCGCAATGCGTTACAACACACCCAGGTTTTCAAAGTCTGCTTGAAATGGGTTACTCATCTCCGACTATTCAAAAAGCGTTTGATCTCCTGAAAGAAACGAAAGGTAGACACAGTATTGATACTGTTTACAGTATAAAGAGTATTTTTTGACCCCGTTATATTTAACCCCTGTTATTCTTTTTAAATGTGGGCGAATTTAAAACGGGGCGAATTCAAAGTCGACAAGAGTTATCTCTTAATACAACTGTGTATAGGCAAAATCGTTTAGAAGTGTGAAAGGGCAAAAATAAAAAGGGACGAAATAATCCTCTTTAAAGTAAATGAAAACACAGTAAGATACAGACAAATAACAATGCGATATAAAAGGTGTAAAATTCTAATTTTCTCATAATCACCCTTATTATTAGGTTTATGACATTAAAATTTCAGAATCGATAGATATAAAGGCTGAAGAAATTCTAGAAATAGTTTTAACTGAAGAAGAGACAACTGGAGAAGACACGTTACCGCCGTCTGCATCAGGAGGCTTGGAAGAAAAATTAACAAACGCAGGGAAGTCAAAACAACTTAAAACAGACACTTGCAAAGCTATGGACTCTGAAGAAATGAATGAAGGAAGTGGTGAGTAGATAAAAATATAACTATTCAATTCTAAACATGGTTGAGAAATTTGTTCATTGTAGACATAAATTAGAAACTCAAATAGAAAAAAATTAATATGCTTTGTAGATTTTCATACGCAAAACCAAAGAGATCTGAACAGTGTTAGCCAGTCTTTGGCGTCCATGTCAGTTGAAGGTATAGTACTGATCACTGATTGTAATCATGTAATGAAGACAAAATGTGAAAGACTTTAATCTATTCATTTAAATCTTTATTTTTAAATTCCCATATCATTCCTCGGAAATTTTATTGTATTCTTTTTTTTACAATTTAGAGACAAGGTCACTCATTGAAGAAAACAGAAAACTAAAGGATCTACGGCTATGTAAAATCTGTCTTGAGAACGAGGCATCTATCGCCATGTTACCTTGTGGTCACCTCTGCTGTTGTCCAGACTGTGCTCCGGCCATGAGGAAATGTCCGATATGTCGACAGTTTGTAAAAGGGACAGTTAAAACATGGCTGGTTTAATAATTTTCCGGGATATTTTTTTTTAAAACAACCGTGATGTATTTTTAAAAATGTTAGATAGCATTTCATTTTTATTTTTCTATACTGTTTTGGCAATGAATGAACATTGATATTACTCCTGACAAGGGAGTTTGATAAGTCGACTCTTTACCTACCGAAACACTATATCACTAAGAAGCCTTTATCTTAAGAAATATTTTAGTGCATAATTTTAAGAAAAACAGTGAAAATATATCGGATGAATTGAAAATAGTCCAGACAAGTCATGCGATCGGTTCAAGGAAAACAGGTGATAGAGTGTATTATATAATACCTCGCCGGTAAAGTATTGATCGGTCATAATAAATGTAATTTGATGATCGTCTATTTCCTTGAAGTGGTCGCGAAAGTGCGATTGGCATTTTTTAAAATTTACATCATTTGCTACGTATCCGAGAAAACTGAATTTTTGATAAGGACTTTAAATTGACAGAAGTCGGCTAAGTCGGCTGTATAATAAAAGATGACTTACAATCCAACTAATATTAATTAGAAAGAAACAAACAGTTTTGGCCATATACTTATTGGCGCCGGCGACAATACGTACCGGCCCTCACCGCACAAATTGTCGTATATTGGTACATATTGACACCGGCTACAATATGTACCGAGACAAGCCTTTTTCCCGGGCGACAAAATGTATCTCACACACTGGCACAGTATTGTTGGAGTCGCTTTGAATTGCAAAAAATTGCACATTTCATCGCCATTTATATTGTTTTGAAGAATAAATTACTGAGGTCGTAGAGAGAGAGAGACAGTGAGAAAGAGACGCTGAAAGTCAAAGAAGAAGAGAGAGTAAGAGAGAAGTTTTGTCTTATCTATGAATTTATTTAATCATGCTATTTGCACCATTCACCTTATTCATATCAAGTTTTTTTTTTTATGAAAGTTGTGCATACAGTTTGGCATTGATTTGTCTCTTTATGAACATGCAATGTCATGGAAACTGTAGATATGAAATTTAATAGCATCGTCATCATCACCCATATGGAAGCCCTAAAGGTGGGTCGACAATATGTGCAGTGAGAGTTGACACATATTGTCATGAACATATGTACATGTACATTTTTTAAAGCCAACGACTATATGTGTCTATAGACGACAAGAAAATTTCACAACGGCATTAAAAATCCTTTCCGATGTTGAATGGCATTTAGTTATAATGACCACCAAAATCGAATGTTAAAATAAAAATGTGTAAAACCATATTGTTTACAAATCTTTATTATATGTTTTCACTATCATTATCATTTCTCCTTTCTTCCACATTGGCTCTGTATCAAGTTTCCTATAAGGAATTGTTTTAAAAATGTAGTGAATTTTCCTGTTTTTCTTTAGTGCTTAATTTTCTCAATTTACTTTTGGGCGAAGAAAAAAACCCACTGTGGTGCTTGTCTAAAGTAAAAATAAATATGAAGCACGCAGTTATGATAAAGCTGTCCGTAAAATATCACAGTGTTCCAGCTGTAGTAACTTCTCTGAACTACCTAGATTAAGTCACTGCAAACCTGAGCTGACATGACGGGGGAAGTGTCATAATTTTTACATTCTTTTCATATGACATGTAGAAATATTTTACGTTGATGTTGAATTAAGACGTCTGGATTGTTGTTTTAAGATTTATTGTGATATAATATTGATATTCCTTTCTCCTGTCTGATATATATATATATATATATATATATATATATATATATATATATATATATATATATATATATACAACGTTTCAAACAATAACAAAAAATAGAATGTAAAATGTTCCCTGTTACACGTCCGTACAAAGAGTAAGAATTTATAAACCATGTATATATACTGAAAGAAATAAGAAAATCAGGGAAACATGCGATATTTTTTGACAAAATTTTCTGAAAAATTATAAGTGTCCGTCACGTGATCAACAAAGTCATGTGACATTACAAATATGCTTCATTATAATATCTGATAAAACCCTCTTTGTATATTGGTTGTACATGTATACATGGTTTACAAATTGAAATCAAAACCTAGCTCGAAATAAAAAAAAAATTATGTTTCTTATGCATATTAAGCCTTTGAACAACCTTAACATAGCTGCGTACTCTGTTTAATGCAAATAACAAAGAGAAGTAAGAATTGTCACAACTACTTAAATATGTCTGGATCAGGTATCAACTTATATATACCTGTGTATAAACAAAGAATTTAAAAGTAAAAGTGTGAAGTATCTACGTTAAACTTTAATTTAAAGTAATATATTAGAATTAATGATTAGGAAAGCTATTAGTTATGTTTAAAAATGATCAATTATTACGAGAATAGTAATGTTTATCTGTTAGAAGTCAGGTCCGTTTCCTTTTCTGGAAGGACACCTTTAGCTGAATAATTTTTTGGTCTAATTTGACCAAAAATGAAGTTGTCATATTTTATTTATTGCAATATGAATATATATCTTTCTTGCCTCAATAAGTGTTCTTTTGTGTATGGAACATCTCTCTCTATCTGTACGTTTGTAGAAGGGCATAGTACAAAGTGCTATGTACTATAATTTGATTGTATTTTAAACTGGAAAAAGCTCTCGAAAAGAATTGCTAGCGCTCCTCCACGGTAAAATTCATCGTTCAATGTACAAAAAGTATAATCTTTTTATCGCCATTTATCTAGTCATGTTTTTAGTACAATCATGCTTTGAGAACGAGGCTTCAATCGCAATGTTACCCTGTGGTTATCTCTGATATGTTTAACGAAATAGAAAAAAAAAAAAGATTAAAGAAATGATGCAATTGCAAATCGAATGCAAAAAGCAAAGCTACATTTTGTAGATTTGGACAAGCGTAAGTAAAAAGATCTTAACAGTGTTAACAAAACATAAGTGTCCATGTCAGTTAAATGTGCTGATCACCTACATGTATCATAATCTAATAACACAAAATGTTAAAAGTATTGTATTAAATCTCTTCAGGTAACTTTCATATATAAAAATACGCATAAAATTCCTACAATTGTATTCATTACGATTGCCTACGGATTTTTCCCATTTTCCCGATCATGACAAGGAGCACTCAGTGGGTGTGACAGGTCGACAGGGGATGCTTACTCCTCCATGGCATGTGATCCCACCTCTGAATTTTTTTAGAGGTCAGTGTTTGCATTGATTCGATTTGTATTGTTTCAATGGAGTTTTGTGCTTGATTAATGTTCATTATCTCCGTATGTCATTAAGAGGCAATGTCACCCACAGAAGAAATCAAAACACTTAATGATCTGCGACTTTGTAAAATATGCCTTGAGAATGAGACTTCTATCGCCATGTTACGCAGTGGTCATCTCTGCTGTTGTCCAGACTGTGCTCAAGCCATGAAGAAGTTTCCGGCATGTCGACAGTTTGTGAAAGAGACAATGAAAGCATAACTGGTGTAACATCGTTCCTTTTTTGATTTTATAGTTTGTAACTTACGAGGGTTGTCCGTAAAGTTCGTGGACAACATTGATAATTACGGACAAACATTGATAAAATATATGAAACTATTATTTTCAATAAATTCATGTTTCAGTTTGTTAATATGCAAGTTTTAATCACAAACAAAGCATAAATAGTTATATTTTATCAGATACAAAAAAGATACACACTTATACCCGGAGCACTAAAACGAAAATCCTTGACGTTACTCGACGTCAAAAGCTAAATACATTCAAGTTTTCTCAACGTAGTCACCGTTTAACTCAACATATTTCTTATGTCGCTTCAACCAGTCATCAAAAATGTGCACAAACTGTTTTGGTTTCATACGTGAAATAATATTTTACACTTCCTGTCTCAGATCCTGCAAATCATCAAACCTCTGTCCGCGTTAGTCGACATTATGTACGGAAATACGGCAAAGTCACGTTACGAACTTCATTTTTTACAGCACTACAATCTCGGAAAGATGGTTTTCCTTCACGCATGTCATCCAGTAAACTGTCTCTTCGGTCCAGAAATCTTCTGTGCCACTTAAACACTAAAGAATAGATTGCTTTACTATGATTTCCCGACTGATTAAGGAATTTATGGGTCTCTGTTGGTGTTCTTCCGATGTCTACACAACATTTTATCACTACTCTCTGCTCCACCTTTTCCGAAAACGTCCCTTTTTCGAACAATGATGATCCTGTCTTAATAAACTCTGACCTCGATTTCTCTGCCATTTCGAAACTTTGAACGTTCAAATTTTACAGGTTTGACTTTATAACTTTTGTCAACCTTATAATGTAAAAGCCATCCAAATTTCCGCGGAATTTTACAAAATACAAATGAAATTCATTGAGTCAAATGCTGACTGACGTTTTTTCATACTAATTGTTAGGCCATTATTTACACACTGAATTGTCGACAGATTTTTCCGTTATTTCCCGATCATGACAAGGAGCACACGGCGGGTGTGACCGGTCGGCAGGGGATGCTCACTCCTCCATGGCACCTGATCCCACCTCTGATGTTTAGAGGTCCGTGTTTGCTCTGCTCCTATTTTGTATTGTTTAATGGACTTTTGAGCATGAATACTGTTCGTTATCTCCATATATTTCATGCATAAAGTGATAAAAAACTTTTTAATTAAAACTTTGTTGTGCTCCGGGTCACCATCCAGAGCCTAATAATGAAGTCATAATTGTAATTATACACTTAAAATTGAATAATTTTTTTCATTTTTTAATTCACATATAGTAAAGGATTATAAATATGCTAATAATAAATATCTATGACGCAACTTTTTTTTAAATTTTAGCTTGTCCACGAACTTTACGGACAACCCTCGTATATCACTTTTTTTTTTTGATCAAAAACATTATTTTCATTGTAATCAAATTTTGAAGAGTAATAGGCTATTGAAGTTGAATTTAAACTTACCTTATTTATTTATTTTTGTGTATTATTTTAATATTCAAATCAAGTTTATTCTGTCGCGTTTGCTGATGACAGCATAAAAAAGAAATTATAGTAAGTATTAAATTATATCCATA